TTTTCTTGACGTTTCGCAAGCACGAGTGGCCTGCATCTTCAGTGCGAACATGGAGAAAATTTCGTTTGCATCAAATATAATTTCGTTTCAAATTTCACTCTCATTAGCCATCATCAGATGATTAATGAGCGAATTTTTGTGCTAGAACCCAACAGAAACTGGGCGAATTTGAAGAGAAGGTAAAAAGCCGTCTAATTGAATTAAATCAAGTAAATGAACGCTATCGATTAGACCACAAGTTCAAAGTAAAAAAAATGATTGTTTTGCGGTTGTAAAGTGTATCGTTCAATGTTAATCATGATTAGACGCGGAAAATATTGAAAAACTGAGAGTTTTTTCTAATCTTGCTGATTATTTCTTGAATTAATGAGCCAGAAGTCTGACGCCACTAAATTGCTTTTGCAGTGATAAACCAAGAAGAACAGCGAAATATTGCTTGTAAAGTAGCTTGGTATGGTAAAAATAAAATAGTATACATAAAAAGGAAAGTGAAATAAACCCCCTAATGAAGTGAGAGAAAAATGCTGCATTAACTGGACGCAAAAATGAAAGTCAAAAATATTTGCAGGCAGAAAAAATGGCGAAACATACTAAAAAGGAAAAGAATGAGAATATAATCAGTATAAAGTATCAGTAATCAGTAAAAGTGAAGAACAATTCCGAATCCGACTCTGCTTTTTGGAGAATAGTTCCGTATGGAGGCGCGGTTCAAAAGGCATTGAACTCAAGGTTATTCACTTCCCGAATATCTGAAACGAGCCCACAAATCTGCTGGCATTATTCTGCTGGTGTCGATGGAAATCCTGATCCTTTAAAGGGAAATAAACCCGGCCGATTTGCTTCTTAATCAGCCTTAATTCTCTATTTTTACTCGTTTGGTGTGAATGGCCGATTACGCGGACTGATAACGCGGTTCACAATGATGTTTTTGTGTACAGATTTTTAGGTGCGATGCCAGTGGTTTTGTTCTAATTGTCGCCATCATCATGTAATGGAATTTGCGAAATGGAGCAAAAGTCGAATTAAAACCGAAATTGACCGCAAAGCCGGCGAAAATTTAGTTTAGCCAAAAATAATTTCAATTTCATATTTACGATGTAATGGGGGGTACGTTAGGAGTTAAGGCACATGATGAGTAAAAAATGAGGAAACTATAGTAATAAACTACTGAGGAAATAGGCAAAACACTTCCGCACTGAATTCATCCACAACAAAATCACTCTAGATCGAAAGGCACGGTGGTTCTTCCTTGGTGGTCGCTTCTACATAAAATATCACTGAAACAGCCCCCGAAGGGCCAACGGGATCACAGTTGCGCAATTTTCCGGTTTTCGCGAAAAACTCCCGATTTTTCTCACAAAACCCGCAGGATCGCGACCGTCACTGCTAGGGCTCTGCGGACGCTTTCGGACGGCGCTTTCCCACCGGCAGGCCGCATTTTTTTCGATATTTTTTTTCGGAAAGTGAGCCCTAGCAAATTGTCCATGTATCTGTGTAGTAATTCCAGAGAGCGGGATCAGAACCGACTGCGACAAGGTCGTCTCGTGCCGTCTCCGTCCGACTTACAGACGTTATACGGCCTGCTGGGACGAACTCGTAGCTTCAACGTCGCCCAGTGACGTAGCGGAGCCCCCACTCGGGACGCGGGTTCATTGACCTTTCCTGTAAACCCTATGACTACATCGCGCCGCGTTGCCATTCTTTGTTTTTTGTATCAAATCTTCGGGAAAAAGTCATCTTTCCTGATAGGAGCTAACTTCGTAATGTACTGATCAATTTCACTTCAACTGGTTTTAACTAGCATTTTTTCAATGGTGGTTTCCTGCTTTTTTCAACAGTTTTCGTCGTTTGTAGGTGTTTTACACGCTTTTTATCTACAGCGACAGAAGAATGGCACAAGTTTCTTGTAGAACAGGAACTCTCTTGTCCAGGTGCCAAAACATTGCTAAACTTGTCACGTCACTTCCGCACAAATCGTTACGTGCGCATGAAATTGACTTGAAAAAAAAAACATTTTTTCAAAGGGATTTTTGGGGAATTTTGCCAGTTGGAGTCTCAAAGCAAAATTTGCCAGTATACGGGGGCAAGCGATCTAAAATATCCTCAGGATGACCACCCTACCGGTTATACCGGAAGTAGCTACTCACTTGCTTAGTTTAAATGGGACACCCTGTATATTATTACATTTTAGAATTATTTTCCAAAGACTTACTTAATATAATTTTTATAGCATTTTGATGATACTGCTGATAGTAAGAGTGACTGCATTTAAAACATTTAATTGACAATATTCCGGAAGCTAAAACTTTTCGAATATACAACAAAAAAACTTTTTAATACCAAATAAGCTAAAGCTATCAAAAGTGGGGCCAATTGGGAAAAGTTGATTTTAGGCGGTTTTCACAATTTCATTTTGAAACTTATTGAACTGGGAGTCAGTCATTTTCACCAAGGAATGCAAATCAAATTAAATAACTTATGATTTTCCATAAAAAAATTAGAAATAATTTTAGGTCTGCAACCGTCGTTTTCAACACAAAATTTCAAATAAACTGCTCAACAAAATGAATGTTACACACCCAAATCTGTCCACATTTCGTTTCTATTTGAAGCGTTGTTTAGCCCGATTTGATTTTAGTTAGTCAATGTTTTGATAAAAATTTCGGGGGAGGGACGCAAGTAAAAAATGCAAAATTCGCAAAGTTCGGCATGCTCCTAAATGCACAAAAAGCGGTTTTTTGCATCTCAACTCCAAAAGTTTAAAAATATTATAATAACCAAATAGTTCGAAACAGTTTTTCAATTTTTGTCTTCAATTTACAGGGTGGTCTCAAAAAATCAGCCTTTTGGTTTTGCAGAGGTAACTTTTGCGCTCTGGATGCGATTTTTACCATCTGGAGCTCATGGTGAAGCTACAATTTCATAGACCATTTAAGACACAAATTCGACATGAAAAATGACCTAAATCGGAATTGTCCCCGAAGTCTGTGAGTTTGGAAGATTTTTGACTAAGTAAAGCTTACTTTCAAATATTTCGTTTATTCATACAACCTTGTATAATAAATTTCTTTCTCAAGCAGACTGCGAATTTTTAGCTTCAACTGAGCCGCTAATCGGTAACAAAAAAGGGTCTCTGTAAGACGAAAAAGTTGATTTTTTGGAGGCCACTGTGTAAATAAACAAGATGTACAAAAAATTCCAAAACTTTGTCAAGATCTGAGTTCTGTCTTAAAGTCTGCGGTGTTTTTGGACCAAAATTTCAAAGAATTTTGCCCATTGGAGTCTCAAAGCAAAATTTGCCAGTATACGGGGGCAAGCGATCTAAAATATCCTCAGGATGACCACCCTACCGGTTATACCGGAAGTAGCTACTCACTTGCTTAGTTTAAATGGGACACCCTGTATATTATTAAATTTTTGATTCATTTTCCAAATTCTTAATATATTTCCTATGCCTAAATCTAACTAACCGTTTTTGATATACATATTTGAATTTTTTTGTCAAAAACTACATGCTCTTGAATAATTATTAATTTTTTCTATAAGGAAATATGTGTTTTTAAATTTGAGTTGTATTTCTTGATGAAAAAGACTTACTTAATATAATTTTTATAGCATTTTGATGATACTGCTGATAATAAGAGTGACTGCATTTAAAACATTTAATTGACAATATTTCGGAAGCTAAACACTTTTCGAATATACAACAACAAAAACTTTTTAATACCAAATAAGACAAAATTATCAAAAGTGGGGCCAATTGGGAAAAGTTGATTTTAGGCGGTTTTTACAATTTCATTTTGAAACTTATTGAACTAGAAGTCAGTCATTTTCACCAAGGAATGCAAATCAAATTAAATAACTTATAATTTTCCATAAAAAAATTAGAAATAATTTTAGGTCTGCAACCGTCGTTTTCAACACAAAATTTCAAATAAACTGCTCAAGAAAATGAATGGTACACAACCAAATCTGTCCACATTTAGTTTCTATTTGAAGCGTTGTTTAGCCCGATTTGATTACATTAGTCAATGTTTTGATAAAAATTACGCAAGTAACAAATGCAAAATTCGCAAAGTTCGGCATGCTCCTAATTGCACAAAAAAGCGGTTTTTTTGCATCTCAACACCAAAAGTTTAAAAATCTTATAATAACCAAATAGTTCGAAACAGTTTTTCTGAGGAGGCCACTCTGTAAATAAACAAGATGTACATAAAATTCAAAAACTTTTTCAAGATCTGAGTTCTGTCTTAATGTATGTGGTGTTTTTGGGCCAAAAAGACGTTTTTTGGTCCAACTGAGACCATGTGGAACTTTCACTAATTGTGCAATGTTTCATTTGACACCCTGTAGATGCTTTATATGAAGCACGATTTTTTGGAAAAATCACGCGCTAATGAAGGAAGAATTTGACAAAATAGCGCCTCAAACAGAAAAAAAATCGTTAGCAGCAATCAGAATGTTTCCAGTTCCAAACTTGGAGAAAATGTGCCCGGGCAACGTCAATTTTGTCAAGCAGTTTTTGCAAAAACGGCTAGATTTAGGTGGGACACCCTGTATTATTAGCAGTTTATGTTCGAAATAGCATCCAAATGTGCGAAAGCGTTGACAAAGTTTTTTTCCTGTAGATCACAACCGCCAATTCCCCAGGCTCAAGCACGTTTGGAAGCAAATATGAGAACAGTAAAAAATTGGTCTTGAGCACAAAACAGAGAAAATCAATAGCATTAGATGAAACGGTTGAAGACAGACAGATAAAAACAGCAATTGATCAAGTACCTAACAACACCTATCTAGTTGTCGAAAAACAACACACACATTTTCCAAGTAAAACACGAAAAAGCTATTAATATAATCGTTTAAAAGTTTGGGTAGGTCCAACGAAATCGAGGTGTCGTTGACACCTACCGGCATAATTTGGGAGTTTGTTCACCTTGCAAATAGCTAACGTGTTAACCGAATTTCCTAAAAAAGCCCATGATGGTCTCGCTCGATTGCGCCAAGTTATGCAAGTTTTTTCCATTGTCAAAGAGCTTGACTAATCGCGGATGATGTTTGAAACTGATGCATACATCTGCAGCGTGATTCAGCGAGCCGAAGCTTCGCAACTTGACAAAATGCACTTTTAATGAAACCCCATCCAGCATCCGAAATGCCCATTTAAGCAGTCAGAAACCATTTTCTTCAGGTAGGCAGTCATAATCGAATTAGGGCTCCCCAACGTCGCCACTGCCCTGCAGGATCATCGCGCATCATCACTAATTGAAAAACTGCATTGTAATTGGCGGCAGAATATTGTCTGAATTTTTTTTGGGGAGAAACCATCTTATATCGTTTCGCAGGTAAACGACCTCCGAAATAATGCGGCAGAAGTCGTCGACTCCGATGAAAAACCACCGTGTAATATAGGCCTACACGAAATTTCTGACAGTAGAAACGGAATATTAACTGCAAATAAAATTTTAATTGGAGTTTCATTTACACATTATGAATAATAATTGTTGTCGCTTCAGCGTCAATGTTTGGAGGCGAGGAAATTGCTAGGGCAAGAAACGTTAATTACCCTAAAGGTCACAGACGATGTTAAAATATATACTTGCATGACGAAAGGGAGTTTTTCATTTTATCGCTAACTGAAATAATCAATTTTTGTTGCTTTGGTCGGATCATTTTTGTTGTTGGCGCTATTCGTTCCTTCTCTGCTTAGCAGCAAATACTTTCATTGTTCGCAGTCGCATTTTGTACCACAATTTCTTGCCAGTGTGTTTGAAAATGCCAAAGCTGTGAAAATCCGTTTATTTTTAATTGGTTTTTCTCTCGAGTATGTTGAAGAGAAACCAAAGTCAGGTTTGGAATTTTTCTTTTGCAAGTCCGATTCTAGAAGCAAATTAAACTTCTTTGATACTCATCAGGATGGAGGAATTAAACTCAATAAACAAAAAATCAAGAAAGTAACGGAACATTTTCCAATGCTGTTGCAAATGTAAACGAGTTTCATCTACATTGTGTTTCTCAGCTTAAGAAAGGGAGTTTTGAGAAACTTGAGCAGATTTTTAAATAAACTGAAACTGAACACAAAATTGCCGAATGCAATAAAAAAATCGAAAAAAAATGCCAATAAATTCAAACTAGCAGGACTAACAGTGCAACATTTTCTCTATTAAATGGCCAAAATTGCAGACTTTTTGGAGACGAATTTTTGCCTTTGAAACTCGAAAAAGTGCCAAAAATCGAAAAAATTGCTACTGAATCGGCTCTAGCAGAACTTATATCACAAAGTCCTCTCTGATAAATAGCGAAAAAGCAACTTTCAAACGAGTGCGTCTTTCGAGCTAAAAATGTTACAAAAACCTGCCGACTTCAAAACATTTGACCATCCAAGTAAGAAAAAAATCAAAAATTCAATCATTGCTGCGAATAAATCAGCTCTTGGCGGACTAATAGAGCAATTTTCTGCATAAAAGAGGCTTTTGAACCAACCTTCAAATTGGCTGGCAATTTTTGGGCCTCAAAGCCCGACAAAACTCGCCAGCTTCATCTACATAAATTTTTTCAGATTCAGAAAAATGCATAAAATTGAGCAAATTTTCGAGCAAATTGACA